GKTTWAAWTWWKRAARTTATTAGTACATAACAGTGATCTTTCTAATGATTGCACTAAGTATGAATAAAAGTATTATGAATAAGAAATAYGTATAGGATGGCTTATTTTTTCAATATGGCCATCATAAACAGCAAGATACTCTTATTTTGTTGAATATGAATATCAATTCTTCTGGATGAGAATCTTATAATAGTTTAACATTTGTGAAACCCAATAAATTTTACATTTATCACCCTTTTCAAACAAACAAACAAAAAACAAAAAACAGGTAAAGGAGGGAAAGGATGTTCAGGAGAAGTAGGAAGAGAAGGAGGGAGAACGTCAGTGGGCCCTTTCTGGTAGGCYACTGAGAAGGTTTCATGTGAGCCATAGGTCACTAGCCTGTTCCAGAGGATGCTGATAGGATTACCAATCTCGTCCTGCTGTCCCACACACCAAGGAGAAGAGCAACCTGGACAGTGTGAAAGAGGCTGAAAAATGGTGACCAGAGCCCCTTCACGCTCAGCCCMCCTCCCCAGTCGCCCTGTTGGGTTGGTGCCGTCCACAGTCTGGAGCATGACCGGTAYAGCACAGGGACTGAGGATAAAAGATCCCCTGCACCTTGGTCCTGCATGGCCCCCTCTGTTAAGTGCAGTGGGACACAGGCTTCCGAGTCCRTCTTTCCCCTGAGGAGGCTCTCCTGATTTCCAGGTGGGGAGAACCCCTCAGGAGAGTGGGTATTTGGAGCAGCAGCTACCGTGCAAATCCTCAGCACAGATGCCACCATCACTTGGACTCTGACCCTTCTAACCCGTCCTCGGGCCTTCACAAGCACCAGGAGAGAAATGCCCCACCCCCAAAGGTCCTGCTCCGCAGTACAGTAGAAACCAAGCTGTCTCCTCTCATCACAGACAAAACAAAACAAAACATAAGCAGCCCAGCTCAGAAGAGAGCACCCAAGGCACGATTAAGTCCCCCAGAGCAACACGCATCCAGCCTCCTRCCTGCACCGGCCCACACTGCCTGGGACACATCCCACACCTATCTGAATGCCACTGAGCCCTCCCTGTGACCACTGAGGAGGATCTAGGGCCTCCTGCCTCCAAATCACTTAACAAACTGGATTTCTGCTTCCCAGGAGATCCTCATCAAGTAGGCCGGGCCCATTACCTCTCTTACGACTAGGGAAGYAAAAACGAGGAAATACCTAGACTATCACCCCAGTGTGACACAGAACAGGGACTGAGRTGGCCCAGCTATTAGATCCCTTCCACCCCCAACACAACCAGCAGGCAGCACGATCTCAGAGTACACACACAGAGGAAATGCCAGCAGAGGCCCCGCGGTCTTTCGGGATCTTTTATGCTACACTATTTTGCRTCAGGTCTTAGTATGCTGTGACTTCTTTTAAAACTGAGATATAATTTATGTGCCATAAATTCACCCTTTTRAGGTCTATCATTCACTACGTTGAGCAACCTTCACCATGGCCTAAGTTCAGAACACCTTCATRGGCTCAAAAAGAAGGCCCGTACCCATAAGCACCCAAGACCCCTTCAGAGGAGGAAGATGTTCTGCCACACCATCCTCAGAGTGGGGGCACCTCGGATATCACAGATGCAGTGGAGGATGACCAAGTGCACCCGCCCGTGGGTCAGTGGGCTGCTAGCACAGAGGCCTTGTCTTGCAGGCCCGCCCACCAAACCCCTTTGTGGGTTATTCATGTCCATCCTTCCAATGGGGACATCATGATTTTGCCCAGATAGACTCACCACAGAGGGGAAAGGGGAAGGAAAGAGGCCACCCTGCCTGCCAAGAGCATCATCCATGTTTAGTTTGAAGATAATCAGACAATGATAGCTTCTTCTTGGATTTTTCTCCCTCTCTTGGCAGACCTGACATGGAAGAGCTCAAATCTAAACAGGAACTTATTTCCTTAGGCTATGGTCTGGCCCTGGTCAACTAATGAAAAACCACACAGGACACAGTAAATGTCAATTTCTTCCCCAACAGGACTGAGATCAGAACTTGGAAAATCTGCGTCATCACTGTGGTCTGGGCTTTAGCAGAATATCTCAAGAAGAGGAAATGCAAGACAGCACAGTCCTGAAACCCCCCAAGGGTAAGTTATAGGAGGTGACAAAATGGTCTGGTCCGAAGCCACCCGAGGGTTGCCAAAGAGACTCCCAGGGAAACTTCTCTACAATGTACTAAATAAAACAAGTGTGGGCATCTGAAGATGCCACAGGTGTCGCACTGTGGAGCCAAGATACCTGGAAATGCAAGGCTGCCCTGACTTCACCATGTCCATTCTTCCTTTCCACAGACCTCGCATCCCTTGGCACCTCCCCAAATTCTAGAACTGCCTGGAATGCATGGAGACCAGGGTGCCATTTATTCTCACGTACATCGTTTTGAAGCACAGTTTGCCATTCAGAAAATTGGGCTACATGGCTCCTCCTCTCAAGAAGCTTTCCCTCTAGCAGGAAAGTTAAGCCATGGCCACGAATAAGCCCTCTGTGTAGTAACAGTAGGGCTGAGGTAGAGGCTGGAGCTTGGCTGGGTGCACATGGACGGCAAGAAGGAACATGGGTCAAAACACTGGGGAGGCAATTTCAGATGAAGAGTATATGCAAAGGAACAAAAGGATAATACAAGTGTGCAGAAACACAGGAGGCGAGGCTGCCGCAGGGAGGGAGGATGTAGAGAAGAATGGCAGCAGACCTAGGCGAAATTCAGATCGGTGCCAACTGCCAAGGTTGTGAATGCCAGTTTAAGGAGTTCAGGGCTAATGGCACGTCGTCCATGGTTTTGCTCAGCAGAAGTGTGCATTAAGTCACCATTTAGAATGATAAGAAGACCCAGAGAGAGAAGGGAAGATAAACTCAACTCGAGTCTCACGGTGACTCTGAGTGCTGTATTCTGCAGGAACTAAAACWGTGAAGCAGAAAGCAGGCTAGGCACGGTCTGAGGAACTGTGGATAAGTTGCTCAGCTTTGAGTTTTCTCGTCTGTTTAAGAGGATCTGGATAGATGAACTTCAAGATCCGTTTGTAACTTTGMTATCCCACGATTCTAAGTCGGGAARGGATATTAAGTTCAGTGTTCCAAACGATGTCACACATTCTCTCAAGTATAACCCGGCTCCGTCCCTGCTGTCCCTGGGCACACAGGCTGGACAGGTTTGAAAGGATTAGATCAGAGCGTCCCAGACCCAGGCCCTCTTCACACTGGACCGCAGATGATAAGAAAGACTCTCATTCATGCTC